GACATGCTATACTATGACTTTTTCTTCGACATGCTATACTGACTTTTTTATGACTTTTTCGACATACTATACTATGACTTTTGACATGCTATACTATGACTTTTTTATGACTTTTTCAACAATTTTTTCAACATACTATACTATGACTTTTTTATGACTTTTTTCGATATGCTATACTATGACTGTTTTTTCGACATACGACTTTCTTTTTTGATAAGCTATACTCTGACTATCCCAAAAAATGTCGACAAACTATACTATGTGACGACCCATCCCTTCCACTATGGGTCTGTGTCCTGTTTGCTGTCTCTCTGTTTTTCAGGATGTTGATCGGCAGCTGATGAGCCGCACCTGATCCTGGTGTGGCGACGGATTAAAAGACTCTGCACCTAAACAGGGAACTGACTGCTCTTGTTCTTTGGCTGAAACGGCTGCTTATTTGTTCTGTTTAATTCATGTGTTCTTTAAATAAAAGTCTATCTATTACTTTCACCACTTGTATTGTCTCCCTTGAAGTTGCAGCCTTTGAGTCGGGTTGTAACAACTATAACTGTTTTTTCTATATACTATGACTTTTTTAGACATACTATACTGTGACTTTATGATTTTTTCAACTTACTATATCTTGACTTGGTATAGTATTTTCAGCATACTATACCATGACTTTTTCCCAAAAAATGTCAACAGACTTTTTCCGCCCTACTATACTATGACTTTTAGACATATTATACTATGACTTTTAGACATACTATACTATGACTTTTGTCAACATGATATACTATGACTTTTTTATGCCTTTTTTAGTCATACTATATGACTTTTTTCAACATACTATACTGTGACTGTTTTTTGACATACTATACTATGACTTTTTTATACATTTTCTGGACATGCTATACTATGACTTTTTGTTGACATACTATTTAATGACTTTTTTCGACATAATATAGAAGGACTTTTAGACATACTATACTATGACTTTTATCAACATGATATACTATGATTTTTTTTCGATATGCTATACTATGACTTTTTCATACTTTTTTTTTCAACATACATGATTTTCTTTTACTCTTTTCAACATACTTTTAACGTTTTTAAGATTTTTTTGACATTACTTTTTTACTTTTTTCGACACAGTATACTGACTTCTTTCGACTTACTATATAATTACATTTCATGACTCTTTCCGACATACTACCCTATAATTTTCCAATGAATTTTTTTGATCTACTATTCTATGACTTTACTTTTTCGATCATCATGAAATGATTAGTTGTGACACGTCATATTTAATTGACATCGATTTTAACGACGACTGAGGAGAGTACGTCTCATTTTTTAAATGCCTGTTGCCTCCACTTCTCTCTCCCCTGCGTGGAACGAAGCTGAGAGGCGAGGAAATGAACCGTGGAGGTTCAAAGTTTGGAATTGAGAGACTACTCCAAGTGAGACAACAACTAGACATATGCTTTAACGTCAGGATGGCCGAGCGGTCTAAGGCGCTGCGTTCAGGTCGCAGTCTCCCCTGGAGGCGTGGGTTCGAATCCCACTTCTGACAAGTGTCTTTTGTGACCTTTAAACAAGCTCTGTAAGACATTTATGACATTTTGTAGAAGTTGTGTATCGGGAGGTAGAACAGGTTCAATGCCTAACTTAGGCAACACACTGAAACTGCTACCATTTGCGTGTGTGAATGGGTTAATGAGGAGCAAGCATTACAACTTTTTTTCCTCTATTTCCTTTTAGTGTAGCCCACCTACCTCGTTACACTTTGTAGTTCAGTTCAATTGCTTTTCTGTATGTTCTGTCTCAATATATTTGTGCTACTGTGGCCAAATATGTATATGCGTACCTTTGATCCAAAACGTGTTTCCTGGTAATATTTGTCTTATAAATTAAACAATTTGTGGAACTGAACAGGTAAACACTGCTTAAATTAGCCTGACTTACTATACTATGATTTTTTTCGACATGCTATTCTATCACTTTTTCAACGTACTATACTATGAACATTTCCAAAAATATTTCGACATACTATAGTGACTGTTTTTTTGACATACTATTCTATGACTTTTTCGACATGCTATACTACTTATTTCGACTTTTTCAATATGGCCCGCGTTTTTATAGCCATACGTGGATCAGATTTCACTCAATGTCAGGATGGCCGAGCGGTCTAAGGCGCTGCGTTCAGGTCGCAGTCTCCCCTGGAGGCGTGGGTTCGAATCCCACTTCTGACAAGTATCTTTTATGAACAAATTTTTTAAGTCAACAAATCCTAAGACCAAAATTGTCGACAAACCACCGCAAATTCTTAATTAATTTTCTGGCCTTTAAACAAGCACTGTAAGACATTAATGACATTACAGTGGAAGCTGTGTATCGGGAGGTAGAACAGGTTGTTCTGTCTTAATATATTTGTGCTACTTTAGGCAAATATGTATATGTTACCTTTGATCCAAAACCTGTTTCCTGGTAATATTTGTCTTGTAAATTAAACAATTTGTGGAACTGAACAGGTAAAAACTGCCTATGGTGATTTGGGTTAGTAACTGATTTGACAGCCATTGCAGTACCTCACATGCTGTAAAGTTAAGTTTCCATTCACTAAAACTCTAATGTAAATAGACACCACTTAACACTGGTTGAATGGTTGCGGATGCATGTCATGGTGTCAAACAGCAGTGCCTGATCCATGACTTACTATGAATTACCAGCCATGGCTCAACACCGCCCTCTAGTGGTAAGAAGTGGAATTTCTATAAAGCTAATAGGACTTTTCCGTTTTCACACACAGTACTTAATGAACCTCTGTCTCACTACTAGTTAAGAGAACAAAGTATGTGAGAGCAAAATAAGCATCAACTGAGATTAATGACGCACCTGAAAAGTATTTTTTCCAGTAAACAATATTACTTCAACAGAAGGCACCAAGTTCACACCAAACTTTTATTTAATCTGGAAAAAATATTTCCTGTCAAAGGTCACTAAAACTCAAAATGAACAAAGAAGACCAACATACGAATGTCCTATAAAATGTGTAATTTAGAATTAAACAAAATGTGTGCTCAGCTACTTTATATTTTATTCACCTTGCCTTAACCAACACTGCAGTTCTTATTGTCAGACTTCATATATTTTTCTTTAAACATAAAAAACTCTTTGAACCGTTAAAAGTAGATACAAAAAATGAACTAAACATCCATCAACATTATGAATGTAAAGACCCTGCACGAGGAGAACACCTACTTTAAATCTTAATACAACTAACAGATTTATTTTGCTTTCAAGAAACAATGGTGCAGCTGTCTTGCAAGTCTTTGAATGAACTCAAACTAAGTCAACAACACAAAACAAATCTGTTTCACCTTAAATAGGTTTAAATAATAACAATATAAGGCAAATTGTCCTAAAGTGCTCAGGCTCAATGTTTAGCCAACAAGTATTATCTCACTTGGATTAACATTAAGTAGAACGAATGGGAATCGCTGCTCATTTTAGTGACAACATCCAACCAGACACCTTCACATCAGAAGACCTGTAACAGAAGAAAACAAAGTTACAGCACTATACTGCACATTAATGTAAGGTTAATGTACTTAACTAAGCATTTTCCAGGACTTGCTAGAAATACACGTCTAATAAAATCATCAATAATATTATCTGTCAAAACAAAACTCATGTAATGCACTCAGGTGCCATATTAACTTCTGGATTCAAGGCTCCAGACCAACATTTTTAGCAAATGTCTCAGGAAAACAATTTCAACCCGACCGAAGTCGGTGTCTTTTTTTATTTGTTATTGTCATTTATAGTGGTTATTTGCATAAAACCAAAATTCAAATCATTAGGAAATAAATATTTGCTTTGATTAAAAAGAAATCTTGGCACTAGTAGTTTCCTTCATGTATAACATGCTGCTTAATTAAAGCTTGTTTTAGTGAGTTAAACGGGTCACAATTCCCTCTCTAAAATCGATTTAATATTACTCTCAAACAAATGTATTTATACATGCTTCTCGCCTAAAATGAAATTTTACAAAATAACATCTGAAAACATCACAATAACGTTATCATTTACTGTCGCTCAATAGTCATCTTTACAGTACAGAGCCTTAACACATCACAATGTAATTCAATGGAACCTTGGTTAACGTTAGCCGTTAGCTCCCCTCAGGACTGTGTTGCCCACCGGCTGCTAACAGCTAACTAGCTCTGCTCCTGTTGATTTCAATCTGCAGACCGGTGATTAGCGGCACCGCAAAACTGCCTTCAGCAGAGCAGCTATAAGCATGTTTTGAATCAACTGAGGTTTGCCAGTCGGTATTGAAGCCACACGCATCCGCGGGAAAAGGCAAATATTAAAAGACAGATCTCGGGATTTTATGAATCAATATTGGATCACTCAAATGAAGATCGATTTGAATTGGAAATCAATTTTATTACCTCAGCCCTATACATAAACACTAGCTTTCTTCCCATGGGAATGACATGAAAACTATTATGGTTCAGTAAATGTTTGCTGTCAGTCGGTCTGGTGAAGGCAGAGGCCAGGAGCTGATGCTAACAGATGGCTGAGATAGGCAGATAGGCATTCTTTCATCTGCATGTCCATGCATCAATAATGCTACATTTACAAAAATAAAAAAGACTAAATATTCACCATCAACGAATCCAATCCGTAACTTCAAAATTACAAAGTCAAAGGCTGAATCTTGCCAGCAAAATATCTTCGAGCAGTCTGCATTGATCAGCATACACTTTCATTTGATGGCAATTGACAAAAAAAGTATTTAAAATATTCCCCTACATTGATGACATTCAGGCACAACGCTGAGTGGCATCTTCCCCTCTGATTTGTCAGTGGACTCAGCAAAGAGATCTGCCTTCCCGTTGAAGCCTTCCTCTTCCTGACCACACTCTTCCTCACTGTCAGGGCTATGAGGAGCTGCTCTACAGGAGCTCTGTTCCTGGAACCTGAATGTATCACAATGTCAAGTTTTAGGTATTAAGCTTTAAAATGTGCAAAAGTTAGTTTTGCCAGTTTTGTCAGCAAACTTGTTGCTTTTCTTTTCTGATATTACAGATTTTTGCTGAAAATAAAAAGATGTTAAAGAGTTTAAACTGATTTTTAAAACATTAACAATAATTTCCTGTTGCAGAAAGTGAATGATCAAGTTTACAGTTGACTGTCTTCTGAAGTTCAAAATCAATTGTGAAAATGTGAAATAAAAAAATAAGAGCGGATGGGCTTCAATTAAAGTCTAATAAAGACAAATATAAAGTGATAAGAGCCTACCTCAGTCCTAGCATGACGTCTATGTAATTGGCATGTCCAGCATCCACCAGCTCCTTGGCGACATGGACGCCATCTGCCAGAATGTCCACCTTCCAGTGTGTGTTTGATACAAACTCTCTGAAGAAGATCTGGAGGTTCTTCTGGTACAACCCCTGCTGGAAGAAGACCGCTGCTCCATCGGTCCACTGTCCATCCACTCCAACCGGCTTCACCCCTCTCAGAACGCAAGGGTACGTCACCTTTGGGAGGTTCGTTAATTCCCCAGGAACCCTCTTCAGCTTGGAGCAGTCTTCATACGGGATGCATTCGTAATGGCCGTAATCCACCAGGTTCAAGACTGCTGTGGTGTTGGCGTCTGCGATTTCGGCCCGGCACCACTTATTCTTAGTGTCCGATTTAAACAGGCAGCAAGTGCCAGGGACGAGGTGGGCTTCAGGAAGAGGAGACATTTGCTCAGGGAGGTCGTCCAATATTAAGGACACTTTGTTCATGACATGAAGTAAGTCCTCCAGAACGATGCAAAACTCGAAGGGAGTCGTCACTGCGGCAGCAAACCCAGAATACAACTTATCTATGTCAATAGGAGCAAAGACAAGTTGCTGAGTAGGGCTCGTGTCCAAGTTGAATTCTCCTTCCGCTTTCTCATTTTGGGTTTGGGCAGTTGATGGGACCATCTCTTCATTCGGCTGCAGTGAGGTTGTGGTTTGATGAAGGAGGAACAGTCCATTGATGACGATTTCAACCTTCCATAGTTTTTCAGCTTCTGAATAACACACAAACACCAGTTGGACTTCTTTGCCAATCATTGGTTTGAGTATTTCACACCACAATTCAGGAGCAGCCTCTACCTCACTGAACCCAAGGCAGTTCACTTTGCATAAAACTGCAAGGTGCGGGATTTTTACCAGCATGCTAGACTGGTGTCGGATTGAGCCACTTGGAATTTTTTCAGTTATTCCATGATCCACGAGGAGGACCTGGCATGTTTCCAAGCCTACATCTTGAAAAACAGCCCTGTGCCAATGCTTGTCCACCTGAACTAAGCAATTTAGGCCCTGTTTGACATCCTCTTCTGCCACCATCTTGCACTTGCATAGGTTGTCAGCAATAAGACTTTCCAATGCAGTAAGCAGTTCACTGGTCTTATTTAGTCTGGCGTAAAAGTTGCTGTTACTCAGGACCGACAGAACTGTACCAGTCTCTGTATCTTTAGCCTGAATAGACGGAGGTATGAGTGCATCGGCACATCCACTTGTTGTTGATTTTGTCATTCTTGCATTCTTCTTAGAATCTTCTTTGTTTATGGTGGGCGCTGTTCTGTGTTCTTCTAGTTCAGGTGACAGTGTGGCAGGTGTTGGTTTCAGCATGAGGCCTTTATCTTCAATAGTAGTTCCTTGGGATTCAGCTGTTTTTTTCTCACTCACTTCTTTTGTAAGGAAGTTCTGCTCACGGGATCTTGCCTTCTCTTCTATTTCAATTGAATCCGCAGGAGACTTCTCTCCCTTTTCACTTTCAGTGTTACTTTCAACAGCTGCTTCCAGTGCTGCTGGAACACAAACGGCTCCATCAAGAATCTCAACCTCGACTTCCCAATGAACTTCATGACAGACAAAATGAACCATGAGAGGCTTCTCCATTACAGCATCGGTGAAAGGAACATCACTTTTGTACACGTTTGTGTCCAACAGGGAGCATGCCATGCTGAATCTTGGATGAGAGAGATACTCCTCTGGTATGGAGTAGATCTTGTCCTTGCCCACAACTGCGGAGTTTCCATAGTCCACAAACTCAACTTTGAAATGGGAACTTCCTTCACAGTCCTTCACAGCAGAACGATACAGAGCTCCGTCTTCCTCATACTCAGCCAGAACCAGGTCATTTATTCTCAAAGATGTAGCAGTCTTCAAGGAATCTCTGAAGATACTCGAGTTGAGATTTTCGCCCATTTTCAAGATGGCAGGTTCATCCTCTGACAGTTGAAGAAAAAAACTGTTGACCGAGTTGATGTGGGAGACGAAACACATTGCCCTGAAACCTGCGCTAACTTTCACGTCCGGCAAACACGAGAGCTGTGGGATCTCAGTTTCCTCTCTATGTTGAGGCCGTTCACCATGAACCTGGTCTTTTATGTTTTTTTTCTTTTTGCGAGGTGCACTCACAACTTGAGTGCATCTGGAGGCGTTCAATGTAGGGCACTTTGAGGACTGCCGTTTATGTTGTCTCCTGCACTCAACTGAAGGCTTTGTGTGTCCAAAACTCACAAGTGTCTTTGGTTCTGGTGAAAGACTGAGAACGAGCTCTTTTACCTTCTCATTGATGTTAACATCTCCATCAAACAGTTCAACATCAAATGAACCATCTTCGCTCTTTCCAACTATGACCGCTCTCACTTGCTTGTTGAGGATTGCGCCATCAAGCCATTCTTTCACACCTGCATAGCGCTCTTTCTTGGACACTGAAGCAAGGTGGCATTTCACAGCCTGCATGGGTGTGTACAACAAATCAGCAGATTCTCTGGGGACAAACATGACATGGGTCTTCTCAGATATGATTGTGTTACCATAATCCACAAAAAACACCCCGAGATGCTGAGGGGACTGAACAGGATGTGCCAAGCCCCTGTACCATTTGCCATCAAAGAATTTTGCCAGGGCCAGCTTCCTCACAACTGCTCTCGTACTGGCCTGCATCATTTTCTCACTCTCATCTGCGATTTTCTTTTCGAGCTCTTCAATGATTTCAGTGTCTCTCTCAAGGTGGCAGTAGATCTCCCACTGACTGCTAACGTGAGTGATGTAGACTTGTTCCTCATTTCCAGGACTTAGATCATGTGAAGAGTAGCCAAAAGACTCAGGAATCACGGTCGACAGTTGCTTTGCCGAGATTTGCTCTTCTCTTGGCACGCCCTGTTCAAAGAGCAAATTTGTTAGGCTCCGTTGGGTTTGGGTGTTGTAGAGTTCCACGACATTGCAGAGCCCTTTGTTTTTCACATTCAACTGTGAGACAACTTCACATCTTAGACCACTGGTCCTAAGGACAAAATCTTTCAGTGTCTTACACACCTCCGGACTCCAATCCCCACTGTTCTTGGGGTCAACAGGTTCGAGCAGGTTGTTAAGGCTGCACCTGAAAGCTTGTCCTTCCAAAGAAACATATTCTGGCATTATTGCCTGAAGATTGTGCTCCTTGATTTGGATGGTAAAGCCATAGTCAACCAACATCACTCTGACACAACTGTTCTGTTTCTCTGTGATGAAGGCCCTGTACCATCTTCCATCTTGAGGTGACTTGGCGACACAACATGAATCCCCTGATTGGAAGGGAACTGTGTGAGTTGAGTAATATTGATAGAGTTCATCCATCAGTTCCTCCAAGGCTGGACGTTTCTCTAAAGGCTGGCACCAGATATCTGATGGGGACTTGATGTAAGAGCAATTCACAGCAAAATTACACCCTGGCTTGATGCTTAAGGCTTTGAAGCTAGCAGGTGCTTGGGCCTTCTCAGTTTTCTCTTCCTTCTCACAATCATTCAGTTGCTCTGTATTCCCATTGAGGTCTGATGTCACACCATATCTTGGGCATCTTGTTTTTTCTGTCAAATCTGTGTGGTTTGGCACCACATGCTCTATGGCAATGTTGTTCCAGTATTCAGCTTGTTTGGAAGAGATCAGGAGCTCAGTGATACTTGGATTGTCTTCACTTTCCATGACATGGAGATCAACAGCAAATTTGTTTTTTCCCATTTGGATAACATGGACTAGCAGGGCTTTGTTTGACACAGCTCGTCTGAAAAAGTCAGAGGTGGTGCTGGTCCAGACTTCATCCAACGGAAACACATTAACAAGAGTGCAACAGAAGGCAAACGCTGATTTGTTGGCAAATGTCTCGGGTATCTTCTTGATCAACATGTGTGGCACTTTCTCAATGTTCCCAAAATCGATAAAAAGAACTTCAGATCCATGCTCAAGAGTGTCTGTCACGACACCCCTGTAGAAATGCATGTCTGCCTCATACACTGCACAGCACAGTGTCCCAAGCTTGGGATTCAACAGCACGTCTTCACCCAGCTTCACTTGACTGAAGTTATCTGCCATTTTTCTCATCATTTCTTCAAACTCATCGTTACGTTTTTGTGTTCTGATCCAGAAGTGGCTTGGATTCTGGACATACTCGACATAGCCCACAAAGACAGAGTTTACATGGACCCCTTCTGCTTCCAGTGTTTTACACACTGCTTTGCCCATGATTGTCTCATAGTAGAAATAGCCACACTGAGGTGACAGATCTTCCTCCAAAACTGACTCAACCTTCATGCTAGGAAGCTCTTGAATGGACTCTGGTTCCTTCACATTATTATCTTCAGCACCAATTACTGTGATAGAGTACAGGTGCTGTCCTTCATCAAAACCTCTGATCTCCACATCTAACACTCTTCCAAGCAAGGATGCCTTGAGAAAACTCAACTGCTGAGTTTTGACCGCCTCATCCTCATCACTCAGCGAGGAGAGCGAGCATGGGAATGCCATGACAGGTGTTGAAAATAAGTCCGGTGGCAACCTGTGGACGTTCTCAACTTTGACAGATTCAAAGAATCCATAGTCAATGAACAAAATTCGAAGTTGAGAGTTGACTGGGAGAAACTGCACGTAGCCTCTGTACCAGTTCCCATCTTTGCCTTTGACTGAGCACAGTAAACCCAGGTTTTCTGGAGTCTTCTGGTTGCCTTCTTTGGTTTGGCACTCATTAACTGCAGCCAGCTTCTTTGACATTTCGCAAAGGTCTGTTTCCATACTGGTCTTCTGACAGTAAAACAGTCCAGGGTTGACCGCAGCAGTAACACGCACTTTAGCACGTGTCCCACAACTCAATCTAGGCCCACAGAGAGACAGAATGTCTTTGTATCCCTGCAAACCAGACGGTTTGAAGCTAAATTCTTGCCCCCGTAGCTTTTCAATGAGTAAGTCAGGAACTGGCTCCATGTTTTGTTTGAGTGGCACCTCTGTGAGCATCCCAACCAAGAGGAGGAAAGTATCTGTGTCCACATGCCTCCCAAACCCATGTCTAACGAGGTCAATGTTAATGTCGGGGGCTTCCAACAAGAGCACTTTGTGGGGCAAGAGGGCTTGGATGTAACCTTTGACATTTCTTCCAATCAGGTTTGAGAAGTACTTCTCCACTACAGAATGAGAACTGCCATGAAGCAGCAGAAGATTTGCCAGAAAGCCGCAAACTATCTTGGGAGGCAGGATGAACAGGTCATTTGAACAGGAAGATATGTGGGCGATGTTGACACTCAAAACGTTACCGTGATCTATGAGGAAAACATCAAACAAGTCCTTTTTCCGGTTTTGAACTCTTCCTCTGTACCAGCGGCCTGAATCCAAATCTTCCACAAGGCAAAACTCTCCAATATCCACCACAGCTTTAGTCTTTGGTACATTCTGTATTTCCCCTTGCAAGATGATATAGTCAAGATCACATATGGTAAGGTACTGTCCCTGGAAGTGTATCAACGTTGCGTCAGGGTTCCAGTCCAAGTGAGTTAACTTGAGGTCCACTGGCCAAAGGGCACATGGTGCAGATGAACCAGATCTGTAAATTAAAGTGACTTGTATTATTAACCTTTAAAAAGTGTTAATAATTTGGTGAGTTTATGAATTCATACATTCATTGTGTTTTTAACCAACATTTGAAAGCAAAGGCAAAATTTCCACATTTGTGGAAAATCAAGATATTATTTAAACACCGGGCATCTGTCAGAGCCTGGTGTGGAGCAAAATGAAGCCCATACTGTGTCTAACCCTACAAAACCATTCCCTTTATAACTAACAGTCAACTGTATACTCTATAGCTGAATTGGGTATCGGTGTCAATGGGCCGATCTGATATCAATACAATTATTTTAAAAACAATTCAGTACATTTATATCTGTGTATTTATCATTGTGTTTAAGCCAAGTCTGATGTTGCTTTACACATTAACGAATGATCCCAGTCTCTTCCACGTAGTGAGGCGTACAGATTATTAATTTAAAACAGGTATCGGATCTGTACTAGATATCGGGACTGAAAAGTCAAATCGATGCATCCCTAGTGTGGAGTAACACATCAGTCATTTTCACACAAATACAATGCAGCACAGTGCATTGTGGGATTCCATGCCATGGACATATAAATTGGACACTTAATTAAAATAGCGACAGTAAATACAGTGTAGACTGTTTCAGACCCCAGTATGAGCTCCATTCCTCTTCCTTGTGTTTGGTACTTTTAGATGCAAATAGGTTAAGGGCTATTTTCCTCAGCATTTATATTGACATTACATTTTATTGTTCTTGTAGCTACAGTAGATTAATACAAAATGCTGGGGTTTTCTTTTGTATTCAAAAAAAATGTTTAAAAGAGAAAAATAACATAAAAGAGAATAATTTCACATTTAAATGGAAGGCCAAATAACTGTTGAATAGCCAGATGTGGTGCTCCACTAAATGCTATACCACTGACTCTGAAAATCTAAACAAAATCATAACTTTATTCAAAAGCTTTGCTATCAGCTTCAAACCAGTTGCTAAATCTACAAAAGAAAAATGCCATTGTACTATAAGGAAGAACATGCTAGCATCAATTTATTTTTGCCACATTGATTTGCTTACTTTTGATGTTCGGAGCCCAGCACCGACTGCATGACTACAGAATCAGTGACGATCACATCCTAAACACAACCCGGAAGATAAATGTTGGCGATCATTAATCACAGACAAACACACAAGAACAAAACCAGCACAGATGTTAACCTTTACATAATACGCCTTTATCAACTTAAAACAAGGCTTAACTTGATAACGTGTTTTTTACATATTATATATTTTTCCATTTAAAAGGAAGTTTCTTTGGAAAGTGTTCCTCTCCAAACTGAGGGTGTATGGATAGTGTCATATATTGAAGACATTGTAAACCCCTTTGAGGCAAATTTGTGATATTTAGGGAATTTATTTCTTTACATACCATCAGAACTGATTAGAGATCACTGACACATACAAGGTGGCATATGTTCCCTTTAAGTTAAGCATATAAGAAATGTTTGTGGATCCAGCAGTTCTTAAATTAGTATATAACAGTCAGGAAGTTAGGAAGGCAGACATACTCAGTATACTTATTGTTAGGGCTATTAAATATCACATACACTGTATTTAGGATTACCACAAAGTGCTGTTAATATAATATCAATATCAGGAAGATTTCAGCTAAACTGTTTCAACTCTAAGTTGTGAAACTTCGATCATCAAATCAACACCTCATCTAAGTTCTTAAACTAGTCTGTAACCTTACAGTAAGGTTTGGTTTAGTCTAGTTCAGCGGTTCCCAAACTTTTTAGGCCACGCACCCCCTTCTACATCCCAACCGGGTTCACGCACCCCCAATCCCCCACACCTTAAAAAAAATAAAAAATCAACAGAGCCTATTTATAGCCGCATAACAATCGGACCAATGAGAGAACAGTTTGCTCGCGCGTGGCGTTTGTTTACAAGATTTAGTCCGCTGTTAAATGTTGCAGTGTGAACACAAACCGAACAAAGGGGCAACTGCAACATTGTATCATATTAATCCCTGAATCGGAACAAAGCAAACGAACAACGAGTGTGAAAACGCCCTGAAACACTGCAACAAAGTTTCAATACATTTCAGTTACACAAGGCGTCACTTTTAAAGAGCAATAAGGATGGCGAGGACACACGCACAGGCTCAGAGGCAGATTGCATCACATTTAATTTACAATTAACCATAGATAGCGGTTACATTAATCTGAATCGAATTACAATAAAGTTACACTCTCCAATCATACATTCCACCTTCTCTTTGGCAGCTGGCAAGCACACGTCTTCGGCGATTGTGTGAGGTAGCCCCTTTCTTGCTATTCTGTGACCAGATATGAAGCCCGCAGTGCGTGTTTTGTAGACCCAACACATGAATGAGACTGCAGTTGTTTTGGGCTGTTTTGTAACTCCTCCGATTTCGATATAAAAAATGTAAGGGGCTTTTGACTTGCACTGGCATGCTTGGTGTTCAGGTGGCGATGTAAATAAGAGGGCTTCAGACAGCTGTTAGCCAGAACCTCACTGAACACCACGCACTGTGGCTTTGGGCAATCTGCATTTGCCAATCCAAGTGAAGCCCAGACCCAGATAATTTTCATCATATTTCCTCTTTTTTCACCTTGACTCCGCGATGGGCCTATGTGCTCCCGATTTGTCTGTGCAATCCCTTCATCCTTTTCGGTCTCCTCCGTCTCATCTTCCTCTGACTCCGGCTCGATTTCTTCTCCCGGTCTCTCCCCAACGCACCTCTCCGTTTCTCTCGCCTCCGCTACCTCTCTCTCTCTCTCTCTCTCTCTCTCTGTCCCTCTCCTCTTTTATGACTGATAGCTTCAGATGTCCCACCTGACAGTTTCCCAGATTTCAGCCAATTTAGCATATTTGCATGAACGTTGCTGAATGAATGAAGTTAGCTGTTAGCTGACGTTAGCTGCACAAGCTAGGCTACGTGTACGTGTGTACGTAAAAGACAATCTGGCGGCAGGAGCAGAAGTGCATTTATTTATTAAATTGTAAGTTTTTAAATTTAAATGTTACAAAGGGAATTTTTATAATTCATGTTTTTGTGAAAAATCCCACTTACATTTTTTTAAATTATATTTAATATCAATTATTACACCATTAGACCACCATTACATTTTTCCTCTGCGCGCACCACACTTTGGGAATCCCTGGTCTAGTTCATCGTGGTAAACTGGAATTATTTAAACACCGTGGAAATGACTGGACACGAATGTGCGCGTATTTTATTGTTAGATTGGCGAGGAGTTTATTCAGTTTTAGTGTAACATTAGCTAGCTTACATTTTAGTAACGTTACTGAGCCAAAAACACAATTCATAAAATGTCGACATTTCGCAAACGCACTATTCCTTAAATCCACAGGGTACGTAAGGATGGACGGACTAACCGAAGGTGACTCCTCCGAGTGTTTCATGACGATGTAAAATGACATTCAGCAGGAGTTAGCGGCAAAAACTAGCAAAGAACAAATCCTGCTATGCTAACGCTAGGCCGCGCTGAAGCTAACTTCATAGTTTGGCCTAACAGTTATCTTACGTCATGGTCGGTTTTTATCTCACATTACCGTCAATGACGTGAACTACGGACATATTTCCGTTTAAAGTGAGCTCTCTCACATTCATAACTGTGCCCTACCTGCTGTGCCGCCTCATGTGTGCGACCTGTCAAGTTAACGCTCCTCAATGCTGCAACACGTGTCTGATCTCACTTCCGGTTTCTCCTCGATTAATAAAGGTCAGACATGTCTGTTTGCTGCGAGCTCCAGGCTAAATGTTTTAAATATGAATATTGACAATCCGGGAATGATCTGACTTGCAAATATGACACTAACTGACGCTGTGGCTCATTTTAAATGCAAATTCAATTAATTTATCAATCGAAAGTGGCCTTTCTGCATAATTAATACAATAAAATAAATCAAAGGGTTTATTGATATTGAAAATAATCAGTAGTTGCACTTCTAGTGGTGGACGCAGCTTCATAGGTAACATTATCTTAGAGTTATAGCCTCCTGTAAGTATTTGAAACTATAACAAAGCTACCTAAATAAAGTAAAAGTAAACTAGACAATTGTTTTTTATACATATATAACTTTGTATAAAGGGCCAGCTGAGTGTGGGAGGCAGGATGGATGGATGGACAGATGGATGAGGGTTTTTCTGTTAATCATTAATAACCTGGATTAGCCCCAGTCCTCTGTAAATATGATGAATGCATCCGCGGGTTCATTAGCTCTGCCTTTCCACAGCACGGCTTTATTAGTCTGAGGTTGCTCTGTCAGGTTTAACAAGAGTGCAGTTGTTTCCACTTTTCTTAAGCTTCCAAATCGTCGGTTGGACAAAAAAAAAAAATGCTTCACACGGTATTTTGTGATCATTTGAATCTTTTCCTGGACTTAAATTAATGTGGGATCTAAAAGCACTGCTGGAAGATTCATTCTTTAGGACAAATGAGTTGCAGTGGAGTTTTTTTCCACAGCAGGCTGACTTCACTTTTCTTTTTCTTTGGTTGATTTGTTTATTAACATTTATTTTAATTTGAGTATGCCAATGAAACGCAGCAGTGAGAGTTCAGCCAGAGATGGAGTGTTTCTCATACACTCTCTAACCAAGACTTTGTGCAGCTCACCAGAGGAAACACGCACAGACTTTAACGGGCAGACACATTTCCATCAGGAGGACGATTCCGGGATCAAATCAGGTAATGAAACGAGCATTCTCGATTACTGCTGGAAGTTCAGATCATTAAAGCTGAAGTGTCACTGTTTTATGTTAATATTCTTCTTAAGTCGTCATTATCATCATCATCTCCTGTTTTCTCGAATTAATCTTCACTCAAAGTCTGAACGTTTTCTGTGCTTACGTTTCAAATCTGCGCAGGTAAAAAACAAGTGACACAATCAGACGACATGATGGTGCTACAACAAAAAGATGCCATTCATTTTATTCCACAAACTGTTTTGGCCCTTCACATGAAAATAAGGATGATGATGATGAAGACACACGAACAGGAGGGAAGATGTGATTTGTACATGACTAAAGTGAGAGGTATCAGTGAAGTCAGTCAGATAGTATTGTGGTGGTATTCTGATTCTGAAATGCAGCTTTACATTAAGACAGATACTTAATTTTCCCATAAATGATGTAGCTCAACATAAATCCTAATTTCAACAGTTTTGCACCATTTTTTTGGTTTTTACAAACATGTATCCTGCAAAATTGAAACGGAGCAAAAAAGGACTTTTCTTCTGGTTTTCACTACTGTCAACAAACGATTTTGACATGCACAAAAAGGAAGTCAGACATACACAATATTGTTATTGTTAGAGCTATTAAATACCACACACACTGTATTTAGGATTTTCACAAAGTGCTGTTTTTCTAATATCAGGCAGCATTTCAGCAAAAATGTTACAACTCTAAGTTGTGAAACCTTTCCACAACAATGGATCAAATGTTTCATCGACACCTCATTTGCTCTAAAAGCTTCGACCCTATTTTGGGTATATGAGCTCTTGAACACAACACAAAATGTTACCATATGTATTTTTACAAATTTTGAAATGAGTATTATTTACAGGTTTGTCTTTTTCTCACTGTGGAGTGTCCTTTGATTTAGCGTTGCAGTTTTTGCACCAACAAGCAATTAAAACATTCCCTTTGAACACAGGAACATTCAAAATGTACAGTACATGAATAGCTGTATATACAGTATATTGTTATATATAGAGTAATATGTATTATATCCTGTTATTGCTCATACAATTTTTTGTTTACTGTGCGGGCAGACCAGTGAACAATCTAAGTGTTAAAAGAAAGCACAAATCACTTTACAGAACTAATCCAAGAAGAAGAAGGTATTAGCAGAAATTACGCTGGAGAAGAAGAAGCTGTCTCACCCTCTTTTGATAGAAAGACCAGTGTCTTTGTAAACCTTACTGAAAAGGTCAAGTTGTGTTGAAATTAAGCCTCTTGTGAGCTATGTATTATATTTGTCTGTGTTTTCTCAGAAGCAGAGGACAGTAATGAGACACCGTCCTCTGAGGAAGACCAGGACCAGGTGGCCTTAAACTCGGACCTGACCATCAAACAGAGCATCTCGTCCTCCAGGAAGACCATCAGTCAGATCATCAAGGACAAGAAGAAACAGACACAACTCACTCTGCAGTGGTAAGAGCTCTGGAAGATGTATTTTACTGCATCAGTAAAGGGACAGTATGTCCATGACCTTCTGGGCCCTAACCCTATCTTTTAGGCCTCTGCTCGAAAATTGCATAACCATACTAAAAAGAGTGTATTTCTGCAACTACAGGGTCTATTTTAATAATGTTGATGAATAATAAAGGTAACACCTGTGAGATTTGTTCAGATGTGTACATATCAGTGTATATGTTACTGGTTAAGAGTAAATGAAGATGGCATACAGCTCAAATTGAAAAGTTTCAGGTTCGCCTGAAAAAGAAAAGCACTGAAAGCATGATTCAGCTTTTGAATGATGCAGCTGAAAGTTTAAACCTCTCCCAAATCATAGTACAATATGTGAACAGTCTCTCTTTTAGTTGTTTGTTTAGTTTGACTTTGATAAAGTGAAGCAGAACAAAATTAGAGAGGTTTTAGTACAGATAGGCTCAAATTAGACCCCTGTCTTCATGGAAACATTTATGACAAACAGGACATCCGTAGAACAGATATTTGAGAAGGAATACCCGGGAATTTATCCTTTGTCTTCACGAAAACAGCTCAAGGTGAGGTGCGTTTCTGATAATTATCGATAAAGCGGTTTGTGGTTCTGGTGGTTGTTGGCTCATATCTCTGTAATGGTTTCACGGAGAGATATATTGAAGATATTTCCGTAATCTGTGTAGAATCATCTTACTTTCTGGTATCTCGGTTTTCCGTGTTAGCTTGTAGCTTTGTCTTGGTAGCTCCGACCGGAGCGCGGAGTCGGCTCAGCCATGGCAAAATATGACTGATATTATGGTAATTCTTTTAGTTGTTTATTTTAGTTGTGTAGAATTGTGTTTGGAGTGTGTAAAAATGGCTTACATGAGCTTGTAGCCCAGACTTTTTTCTTTAATTGGGTATATAACATGTGTGTAACATTCATTATATTCATTGCTGAAAAGTGCATTGTACGACACTAAACTTCCTCGATGGAACCCCAAATGGTCCGCAGTCGGGTATAATAGGTGTGTGTGTGTGTGTGTGGTGTGACATTCATTTATTGTATTCACAGCATTGTTTTGCATCACAGATACCTTCCTTCCTCCATCCTACAGGATGCTAGAGTAAAGTAAAAACTGCTGTGTGTAATTATGAAATTACTTTTGGATACATGGTGACATAAAAACTCACCAGCCAAAACTTTGGACTAAATCTGCAGGTGATTTGATAACACTTTTATTTGACTAATATATTTCCAGACTCCAAAAAGATTGCTCTTTCTAGTTGTAAACATTTTCTTTCTGTGGTATGCAAAGTAAAGGATATTTTTTACTTTTTTTAACTTCAAACTATTTTTGGCAACCGGATGATTACTTTTAGACACCTTCCCAAAGCTGTATTTTGGTCTCTTCAGAACATCTGAGTCCGAGTCAATAGCTTCTTTTAAATCTCAGCTTAAAACGTACAGTTATCGCTCTGCCTTCCCTGATTTCACCTGATTCTAGTTTTTATTCAGCTATATGCGTTTTATTATTCTAACTTGTGTACTTCTCCTTTAGAATTTTTATTTTGTTATTGCTGTGTTTTTTATTTGCTTTGATGTGAAGTACTTTTCTATTTTGTTTGTTTTTTCTTCTGAAATTTAAAAGTAAATCCATTAGTATTATCTTTGTGGGTATTAGCATTTCCTGTATTCAGTGGATCTCTCCGATATTGTTGTGATAATTACATGTTTTTCTCACTGATGTGTCTCAACAGGCTGGAGGAGAATTATATTGTGTGTGAAGGAGTGTGTCTGCCTCGATGTATCCTCTATGCTCACTACCTGGACTTCTGCAGGAAGGAGAAACTAGAGCCAGCCTGTGCTGCTACATTTGGAAAGGTGGTTGTGTGTGTGTATGTGTGTGTGTGTGTGTGTGTGTGTGTGTTTGAAATCAGAAAATGTGTTTAATAAAATCTAAAAAAGGTATCTATCTGCAGATTTAATTTACTTATCAATTTTTCATCATCAATTAAGGGTGCAGTGCTTTACGTTACATGTCTCTTTGTTGTTATGAGTATGAGTATATTTCAAGAAGTCTTAAAATGTCTCCCAAAGTTTATACTTTCTGTTTAAAACTGTAATTAAAATATCACATATCGTTCATTATGAAGGTACTGTTTACTCCAGATATTGATCCATTGGCAATGACATGACTGACTGATCTAATCAGAACTTTATACAACCTTTTCTCATCAGACAATTCGACAGAAGTTTCCTCTTTTAACAACAAGAAGACTGGGCACCAGAGGACACTCTAAGTAAATCCTAACCTCATTCTCTCCTATTTCGAATTTTTGCAAAGAATTTGTCATGTAACCTCAAACTCCAAAATGTTATTATACATCATACAGATATCATTACTATGGAATTGGCATCAAAGAGAGCAGCGCTTACTATCACTCTGTGTATTCTGGAAAAGGTTTGACAAGGTAACAAAACATTTGACATGATTCTTGCATATCATATGGTACCTCCTTG